AGTATAATAATTATATTTCTATTACGACATTATAAATAGGGGATTTTTGATTGGTATATTACGTATTTTCGTAACCATCTAGTTACAGCAAGTTGTTAAGATAAAAATACAGAAACAATATTATTAGTTGGACTTGTGTAAATCTGTGTAAAATCGTTGATCTTAATAATTTGTGTGTACATATTATAATAATAAAAATGAGTTGCAAAATGGTTTCAAACGGTGTCGTTGATTTTAGCAAAGCTGCAAATGATAACGATAGTACCTAATTATAATTTGATTATACTCTATATAATATAACGAGTACCAATATAATCGTGGTGACTTTTTAATTTCATAATTTGATCGTCACGAACAAGCACTTAGCTATAATTTAATATTCCAATTGCACAATGTTAGAAAATTTAATATCACTTCAAAAACCTCAAGTCAATATTGTATAAAGAAAAAAATTTCCATAAAGTTAGAGTGTGTCGAAATCGCATTTAACAGTTTTTTTAAAATTAATATATTAATATAGGGAAATCGGGTTGCATGATGATTTTTTTCGTATAGTCCTTGAATAGAACTTGGGTTATATTTAAATTATTTTGGTTGTAATGTGTAAACGTTACATTTTTGGAATACGTAATTGTAAGTTATACGCCAAACGAATGGGTGAAAGTTATTCTGGACGCATTTATTAATTTTTTTAATAGTTTCTGAAGTAGGTATATGTAACAGAATACTATTATGACTTACCTATTGAGCTAGTGGAAGCTGTTCCTGTAATAACAATGATAAATAATAATGTAATCAAAGTCAATTTTAATCTATTTACGTTTTAGTCAATTTTGACGAGAGAGTAAATTATCTTAAATATATAGAGGTAAATACATGTATAAGTTGAAAAAATTAATTTTGTTTTTTTAGTAATTTTCATAATGCAGTATTATTATATTACTTACATATATATCTAATTTGCATTGCATAATCGCACTGTTAGACTTATCTGACATGATTATTATTAGTGTCTCGCAACAGAAATGCGTCCACCAGGTGAAAGTTAGAAAACATTACAGATATTGATAAAATAATAAAATATGATATCATCGTGTAAAACTTAGTTGATATTTATCATGTCCAAAAATACTGTTTGACAAAGATTATTTTAATATTTTAATCAGCCTATGGATAATAATGTGAGTATTTGTAGGTAGGTCTTCCGAGTACACGCTTTAAACAGTGTTATAGTGTTTGTAAAATATCATATCCATAAATTTAAAGAATTATTTTGGATTTTATGTAATTATATAAGTAAACGCACTATTATGCTTATATATTGTACCCAGTAGGTACCAACAACTTCAAGTATTTTAACTGTCTTACGCAATGTGATCAAAGCAAGTTACAGTTTATTCAATGGCATTTCTAATTTTTATTACACTTTTCAACTTGTAAGAAATTTGACCTCCATTTCATCCAGTTTTCAAACAATGTTCACCGTTATTTTGAAAATCTAATTAGGAAAAATGTTTAGAATTTGAAGACTCCTATTTTCATCGTTAGAAATTTTTTTGAGTAAGGCTAACTTCGTACAGCCCCCTCGCATGTCTTTCAAATCGTTGGAGTATTTTTCAATTTGAAAAAAATTGAAAACCGGTTCAAAATATGAGAAATAAAAAAAGTTTTTTCAAATACTAAAAACAAGTTTTTAATATTTTACTAATTATTTTAAAAATAATGGTGAAAGTTTGGACGAAACTGGGTGGGGGGAGGTTGGGGGGTTGTAATTCACTCACTTACTTTTTTAAACTAAAGTAATAATACCCTCCAAAATTGTTATATACTGCTTGTGACATTAAACTGTGGATCGAAAATCTAGTTTAGACTCTCAGAATCTCAGTTGTGTATTAGGAAGGGCTTTTTAGACTTTTGGCTGTTGCTCTAATATCGACTAAGTGTATTGTTCATGAAGCAGAATTAATTATTGTCGAAAATTTCCAATAAACTCTTCTCAAGTGTTAGGTTATGTTCTGAATCATAATCGCAAAGACATAATATTATTGGATGTAGGTGCATCAAAAATACGTCGTTTTGTGGGTAATAACTAGTGTTTAATAGATACTTGAAAGTACTCGACAAAAATAATTAATTATTTAAAAAAATTTCAGTCGACAACTTATCGAATCGAAGATTTTTCCATTTTTTTTTCTCGTTATTAGTTCAAAAGATACGTAGAACGTACACAATTCATACAGTTTATACGAGTTTATAAGTTGTATTACACAACTGCAATGATATCTTTTGGGAAAGTAACATACTCATGAAATATTGAGTTGTCTAATAATTACTTTTCGGCATGTAAAAATGCATAGGCACTAACTGAAAGTATTATATGTGGAATAGGGAAGAACGAGTTGTGTACAATTGCGCAGGATATATTATAAATAAATCGTATATATAAATTCGTCGATTTTCGAAAGCTACACCAAATAAATCAGCGATTTAAACTGCATTATTAAATTGCTGAGAATGTTCTTCTAGCAGGTAAATAAGACAGTACCTAACACGTTGTACGTATCACGGTTCATTAGCCACGGCTGCAATTTATCGAAACGAATAGTTTTGGGTGTCGCGTGTTCCAGGAAAATCTCGAAAAGAAATAATTAAAATTAAAGTAGGGAAAACAAATGATTATAATCGGCGAGTTTTGCGAGTGGTTTCAGATTTGATTGCCATACAGACCGCATTATTTATTATTATATAGTGTAGAATAATAAGAGCAATATTACGTAAGAACTATAAAATAACGCTCATTATTGAGTTATGAAAAACTCGTTGAAAATGGAAAGTTATATACCATCGCACAGACCTATTAAATAAAATGAATAATATACCTAATTATTACATAGTTAACGTTTTAGCGTTTCACGTCCGTTATCGTATTTTGTGTCATAATACTATAAGAATTGGAGAATCATGAGTGTCGATAAACACCATAAACCATATTTTGTAATCGACTGTCCACTCTGTCACGACCGATTGATTCAGGGACAATTGTATTATAATAATAGTTTAAAAAGATAAAAACAGTTTTCATATCCGGTACACGAGACCAGTTTTATTTAACATTACAAATAAAATATAGGTATAGTATATAATATTATGTCAGCCAGCATCGTAACGTTTTGGGATTACGTCTGATAAATAATAAATTATTTCTGTCACGTACGATATACCTAAGTAGTAAGTACTCACCGCCATCCGGAAGGCACCAGAACGGGTTTCGTCGTGTTTATTGGCGCCAGTGTAGCGTTGCGGTACTTAAACTTTTGATGGACCGAATTTGTTCTATTTTAATAAACACGATAATCGTATATACAACAATATATGTGAGATCAATGCGACAATGCCTTACACTATACTATTACAATAATATAGATTTAAATTGTACATAGGACGTCCTAAAAAATAAAAAATACGACTTCACGAAACTTAGAAACAGTTTTAAAATAGTTTTTGAATTATAAAATAATTATAAGAGGACTTTGCACCCGCATGACTACGTGTTGTCTCCGTCATATTATACCACGTACCCACGACCTGGCCAATTTTCGTTCACACCAGTTTCAACAGTGTGCTGTTAGTTTTGATATTAGAGTGAATTGATTTATTATACAATTTGAAGACAGGTAAGTTTATTAACTATTGACTGTCTATGGACTTTTTTTTATCGATATTACTATTTTTTTAGGTAAGTTATAACCTTTTTAAAAATATACATGTAAAATGATGCGACGTAATCTTAAGCAAAAATCAATTTGTATTATTTATATATTTTACGTAATTTGTAGTATACGCGATTGACTCAAACCTTAAAGAAAACTTACCATCAGCACATTATTTTATAAATTATCTCATACATTTGTGATTTATCTTTTTATATATAATATGTTTCTATGATTTTAGACTTCTCATTATGTTGTTTTTGAGTACCTACTTCATGCTTTTACATAATATAAGTTTATACATTCATAATATAAATTTTAATTTAATTTAAAACATCGATAAATTTAAAGATCTTCTGCCGTCTGGAATGGAAATGACTGAAGATTTTCTGTGAAATCGCTCACAGCAATAATTAGGTTTGTTCGTTCTAAATTAAACATATATAGATATGTATAGTGTATATATAAATACAGCCCACATTTTTTACGGAAATGAGCTGTCTTTTTCAATATAATTTTCTAATCTAGTCTAATAAAATAATTCTCAAACCTCATCATTAAATGGTTTTATTCACATCAAACCATTAGTATAGCAATCGTAAACTTATTCGGGCAACAATAAGATATAACCGAAAAATATTTTTAATTTTAGTCATATTTCGGAACCCTTATTTTTATATATCTTTAATACATTATCTATCCTACATATTATGCTTGGTCCAAGTGAAACCGACAACCTTATAACTGAGCTGAGACTGCGTTTTTAAATCCAAATTCATAACCATCTTACACAACACGTATTTTTTTCACCATACATATGAGTTCCATATCCAAGTAATACGCATTTTAAAATAATATGCAAAAACCACTTACAATACGCATACACTCTACCCATGCGGCCATCGATGGACACAGTAGGTAACGGCTATATTATGAGTTAATAATCCGTATCACACCGAATTCATCACGGTTTTTTTTTATTATTATTATCTAAATGACTATTTATGAGCTTATTAAATTATACACACCCGCACATAATGATGGTAAATACCTATGTAATGTTCTTATTAGATAATAATATAATATTATTATTACAGATCGCAATTGGCCTCATTCGAAAGTCTTCGTCGGCAACCTGCGATTCAGACGCGTGTTCCGCCTAGAATACCGGAAAACAATAAATTCGGATGTCAATATAATATTTAGGTGTGGGAACCGATTTGGATGCAGCCAATAATATATCATTATTATTATCGTGTCGTTTATGGGCGCTGCAGTTTTGTGAAATCGATCGTCAAACAAACCGTCGACGACAGTTATTCAGTACGCTGCGGTAGTAGCAGCTGTAATAGTAGTAGTAGTAGTAGTAGTAGTAGTAGTAGTAGTGTGGTAGTCGTATGGTAGTAATAGTACGGTAGTAGTAGTAGTAGAAGCAGTACTGTTACACTCTACTTTCACTGGCGCAACACCAAAACGGGTATCGAAGACTATAGCTTTCGACCGACCGTCCGCGACTCGGGCCAGTGTGATAAACTCGCGCGCGGGCACGTCGCAAATACATTTTCAGTCGATAATATTCGAGCGGGCTTCGTTTTCCTAGTCTTGGTCGGGAAAAATCGAATCGGAACACGTCCGAAACCACCGCGGTGACCGAAAGTCGCAGGATTCTCTTTGAATTCCGCAGCGCGAAAACCGCCGACCGCAGATCTCCACCGCCGGCGGCGTGATGGATACCACCACAGCGACCTTCGTCTGGTTGGCCCTGTGTTGCTGCTGCTCGTCGTTCGCCGCCCCGGTGCCCGACCGACGACTGCGACAGACCGACCGCGTCGCAGGAAATCCCGCGACGCCCGACCGCGTCGCCGCCGACGCCACCACTTCCGACCAACCGTTCGATCCGACGCTGGACGCCTTAGCGGACGCCAAGTACGACGAATCCGACGACGAGGACAACGGCAAAAACGGCGGAACCGAAGACAGGGAGAAGCGGCAGTTGTCCTTCGTCCAGGGCAGGCTGTTGAATTTTTTGAAAGTACGCGGCGCGCGTAATATTATTATTATTATTATTATTATTATTATTATTATTATTATTATTATTATTATTATTATTATTATTATTATTATCATCATCATCATCATCGTACGACATAATGGGTGATGATGGGTTCTTACGGCTCGAGTTTTGATTCGACACGCGTGATTTACCGATCCCGATGTGGGTACCGAACGTAGGTATATTAATAATTATGCCGTCATGAGCACACGTCATAATGTTATTATTACAGCTATCACAGCTTAATAATTATTATTACGTGTTTCCGACTGTGCGAACCACTTTCCTCTCTGTGTAATCCTTTTTTTTCCGTCGTGTCCTGTTGATGGGCAGCGATCACGGCTTTGAGTGGGTGGGGGTGGAGGGAATGGTCATACGTTTGAACCGATTACATAGCATACATTTTTCTATACTCAACCAGTGAGTATAAACTTAGAGGGGACACGGCTGTTGAAGGTGGTCCAAGTCAACAGCATCCGACTATGGACATAATATTATTTAATAACATAATAATAATAATAATCTACCTAGCCCAACAGCCGTAGATTATTATGATACGCGCGGTGAATGTCACGTTTCTGTTTCGATTTCGACATTTCGATCCATTGCCGATACTTTATTAGAACGTATGGTAAATTTTAATGGTATATATTATTAAGTAGATTTCTAATAATTATTGTCACGATCTAATTATTAGTTTGTATCAATATCAAAATAAAAATGGTGATGCGATTCCATTCGAACCATCTAAATAATATACCGTGACTGGGTAGTGGCAATGACATTGAGTAACAGTACCCAATAAATTATAATATAAGATGAGGCTTATATAAATAATAAATATACATTAAACATTTATAAAAAATGTCAGCTTTTTGATGCAGTTTCGAATATTTTAATTACATCATGCACAAAGAAAATTGACTACTTAACCTAGTAACAGTTTTGTTACCGCCATCACATCATATTATACATAACACATTTAAGAAGTGGAGGGAAATAGTGAACCGTCTTGGGTGATACTTTTTAGAAGGGAATATTTATATAGGTATATTATATATTTATATTATTGTATAATATGGGTAATAAAGGATCATTGTCATTATTCATTAATAATCTTATATATTTTAACATTATATCGTTGGAGTATACTTGAACTCCCAAAATGTATTATATTGGTATAAATTGCAATGTAGTCATTATTTGACATTTCTTAGCAGTGATCAAAATAATTCATAATCAACGCATTAGCTCGATAGTTAACTGTAGATAACTATAGTAAAGCTATGTTCTTCAGCAATTATTTAAGCGATTTGTATCTCAATCAGAATTTAATTTAAAATCTGTATTTTATAGCGTAGTAGCGGTAATAATTATTACGCAGTTTTTTAGTCGTTTGGCTGAAAACACTTTGTATTATCGTTATAAAACCAATATACTCGGCTGGTGTCTCACGGCGCAACATTTCAAAACAGGTCGAGTATAGTCGTATAGATATATATTTTACTTTCTATACGACATCGAAACCTTCTATAATGACTTTATGTTATCAACATTCGTCTGATTTATTATATAATTTGTTTAAATGCTTATCATACTTGTATTTTAACAGTTGTATGGCCTCTAAATATGTAGAAACAAAAAAATAATGTAGACATTTCGAATAATGTGACTGACAGCCGATAAAAATTTAATACCAGAGTGAGGTGTATGTTTCGAACTACTTTGCACACCTCCGCTGAAGCATAAATCATATTTCCATGTTTTTATTTAATTGTTATCGTATATTAATAGTAATTAATAAGTCTTAGGCCATCATATAAAATATATATTAGGTACTACAGATTCATCATTATTTTTAACGTTCTATTATTAATATTATACTCATGTGTTATAATAAAATGCACAGCAATATACGAATAATGATAATGTACATCATCAATATTGTCACAGATACTTTGCCTTAAATAAAAATAAAACGACTTGGGTAGGTACCTAGTTCGCTATATTTTGTTAAAACGTGTTTACATATTATAATTTTTAGTGCCATCAAAAGCTCCACTTGTGTGTATTTTACCATTTTTATATTTACTTAAAACTGTGCTCTGTATAATACGCACATGGAAAATGATAACATCATATAGAAGGGAACATTTATTACGAGTTTTGCAACCACTGAAATGAGTTGATCAAGCACACTGATAAATTAACCAGTGTTGGTATGACCTCATGATTTATACGACATATAATTGTATTATTGGTTTTTCAAATCTTTAGGTAGGTTACCTACCTATTTAAACACACATTTCTTTAAAATGACATAAAAATATAAAATATTATGTCTCTGGTAGATAATATACAAATTATTACTATAGTAGGCATATCATACAGTTTTGTAGTGACGTAACAAATGTTGACAATGGCATGAATAATAATAATAACTGTGTCTATGTCTGAGTATACTTAGGTGTATTATATTATAATTATTATGATTGTATTTGCAGAAGTGTTTATATCAACTTTCACGCGCAAACTGGTAAATGCGTTACGCAATTATAAAATAAAAACAATAACACTTATTGCATTAGCGAAAAATTAAAAGCAACAAAATATAAAATGACAAAAGTACTTAATTTTACTGTGAGCCGGTATTATAATAAACGATAATTGTATGCATCTTTAATACTGGTATATAATAATAAAATGACATTTAAATTAAATTGACAAATGATAAATAATAATGTCTTTAAATTGAAACAGCGTCAGATGCATATTATAATAACGGAAATGAAAAATAAATTACAATAATTATTTTAGCTTACAATTATAGGCAATAATAAGTCACTTATCGACCCAAAACGTGATATATTTTTTCAACAATATATTATTATACTCTTATTTGCAAGGCTTCAAACTTCAAGAAAGAGACAAATTAACAACGTATAATGTTCGTTATTATTTCGTTGCAAAAGCCAATCATCCTCTTCACCACCCACAAAATGATGTCAAAATTGTATGTTTTTTTTTTTTTTTTAATTGTGTGGTATACCTAGCTAGTATGATTGTTTAATGAAGCGAATAATAAAATCCACATTAGGCTCAATTAGACGAGTAGGTACGCTTTCCAACCAACAGAATAAATTATTTACACGTTTTGATGATGAAGATAATTTATTAAGACAACTAAAAAATGTTAAATTGATAATAAATTATGGGTCTGTACCTGACAGTTATAGTAGCCAGTTAACTATGCCGAAGTATGATTTTGTTTACGATACTGGAACAACTAAAAAATATCATTATATCAATCAGTATTAATAATGGATTGAGAAATTAGTTATAATAATATTGTTTTTACTATTATAATATTTATATAACACATTTATTTAATTATTTGTATGTTGCAATACACAGCAAATAGGTAAATAACATTATTATTGAGATTCTTCCATTTCATAATAGATAAAATGGTTGTTCTCAAAAACTTAACAATACAACTTTGATACATAAATCATAAATCTATAAAAGTAGATAATAGTAGGTACCTACCTAAATATTAATATTCTACAGAAGAACACGAAAATGTAGCAATTAAATTATATTGCATAATTCACCGACATTTTGGACTAACTCTTGTACATTTATGATCGTAGTGATTTAAACTATCGACTGAATATTTATATTTGCACTATATAATTATTTGATTGTTGTTATAATACTATATAGGTATTTAATTAAAAATTAATATTCATGTTTAAAGTTGAAAGATAACTCCTCAGAGAGCATTGTATAAAATAATACGTTAATTATATTATTACAGACAGTATCAAATTTACACAGTTACTCGTCTTCAACAAATACTTCCCCTCAGCATACTACCACCCTGTAGGTAATTACAAAAATAAAATTAGTCAGTAAAAAATGAGATAAAAAGTAAAAATATACACAGGTATAAAAATAATAAATAATATAATTATGATTAACGATTAAATTAAGTAATAAATAATATGTACCTGTGTAAAGACTTTCAAAATTTAATTACCTACTTATCTGTATAATATATACTAATGTACCTACATATTATGCATAACTACATAAGTAGGTATTTACAATATGGTTACATAAACTATGATATATTGTATTAATTTAATGAGTCGTTCATCGAGAATTAGTGGCATTATCTCTAGAAGAAGTTTTACCCGTATTAATTATATTACTAGTGCATTAAAATGTTTAATATTATGTGCGCCACATATATTGTACACGTAAAACGAAGTAATGTTGCCGTTGTATTTGCTATTATTATAAAACCACAGATGTGATACCAAACAGATGTATATTTTTAATTAGCAAATGATTTCAAATATATTATGCAATATAAAACTCGATTTTGAATATTGTGTGTACCAGACTATTATTACCGGTGATAACGTATACACGTGAGCTATATAATTGCCATAAACACATGGCGAGGCGTACAATATAGTTGTGTGTGATCGATTAGTATATTATAACATAATAAGTAATAATCTTCGTCACTATTGTAAACTATTTATGAAGGGCAGATTAGGTGCTCAGGTTATGGAAGTATATGAAGGTCCCACGAAAAAAATAATCGTATTATTATTTACCAGATGATTGATGAATGTAATATGAAAATAAAATAATATTATAATTATTCGAATATTGAAATAACATAATTTTTTTTTTAAATTTAGTAAATTTAGGTACAAATTATTTTTTTTTATTTGGCGATTTATTTTAATTTATAGGATTTGGTTTTTTTTTCTTCTACTTAATTGGGAATGGAGGCACTTGGTCATTTAAACGTTAATCACGTGTAGGTAGTACTAGTAAGGGTGTTATTGACTTTTACATAGTTGTTTCCTTTTAGTAGTTCACATTAAGCAGCATGAAACGATGTCTGTGTGTTTTTGAATGCTTCAACATTTTTAGTTATAAATTCATTAATTTTGTTTCTAAAGTAATAAATATCTTATCCTAGTATTAATGAGCTTTGTTGTAATATTGTGTTATTTAGCCGTTACCAGTGGTCGATGTGACTAAAGAAGATGAGAAATACGGCAACGACGGTGACAAGTTTAACAGGATCGGAAGAGGTTTTATCGGCGGCGTGGAATCCGTGTCCAATATGCTGACCTCGGCGCTTTCGGTAAATACGGCTGTTAACCTTTTACTCTTAAGACAGATAAGTTATTCGTCTAAAAGCGTTTTATTATATTGGTTTGCTTAATCGGAAATGTATGAGAACGAAAAAACACATGATCATTATAATATGTAAATATAAAAAACTTCGATAGTCAAGTTGTCGTAGATGTTTGATTTCACTTTAATAGCGGTTTGTTAGATTTTGGTATCCATTATGGTCACACGTTTTTAATTGTGAAATAAAAAATGTAAAAAATGTGTTCGACACAATGTCATCGTTTGAATTTTTAATGTCAAAGACCGATCGATTTCAAACAAAAGCTATATTCAATAAATACACAGCTTTAAGACCTTGTGTCTACCGTGTGAATATAATATATTATTTTACTCGGAAATTACCATTTTTTCATAGCACGTTTTATGTAAATCTGATTTTTGAACAATATACTACTGAGCGTGAGAATGGTAATTTGTGTGTTGATTAAACATTCAGTAACAAAGAGTTCAATTTTTAATTTTGATATTATACACTTATTTTAAATATTTTTGAGGGTAATACAGTAGAATACAACAGTTGAGTCAGGTGTTGTTTAAAATATGAAGGCAAAATAAAAAATATTTTAAAACCAGCCTGACTTATCGGCTGTAATAATATTGAGCAATAACTAAAATAATTTTAAAAAATCAGTATAAAAAAAAAAGATTTATTTAGACTTTAGAGACACAGATATTCTCACCGGGGGGAAACTAGACGGGACGACGCATTGGAGGTTACCCATAACACGTATAATGTCCATATGGATCAATGAATTGGTTTTAAGTTGATATGCACTAACGTTTTATACACCTAATTATGAAGTCATAATAACATGCATTATTTTAAACCTTAGAGAGATTATTTTCAAATTACTATCGATGAGGAGTTAGATTTCGCATTAATGTTTGGTTTCATGAAATCGGTTTGCATAATAATTTGAGATGATAACCTTAAAATAAACAACAAAATCACTTTTTCTTCGTATCTAGCAAATAAAAAGGACTAAAAAGTACCTACCTACTATCTATTGTTACTTTTTTTCCAACAATTCACCCTTCCACTAAAAAAATACGTATAGGTTGCTAGTGTAGTACCACGATTTCAATAGCACCAAGTGTGGTGGTCTATGCATTTCATAATTTACTAGTTAAAGGAGATCTATGTTTGAAAGTAACAGTGTGTTTTATAATTTAAAAAGATAATAATATGACTTTCATAAATGAAATTTAGGTCAAGATAAACGTTGATTTTTGATGTTCCATCACTCTTATGAGTTCTGTAGTATTCAATATTGTAAATAATTTATAACTGGACTGTGGTATAATCTATATTGGTATTTTTAGCATGCATTTTATGTAATTATTTAAACTATAACATCTGTCATCATTGGGCATATCTAAAAAAAGCTCATATAAGACTCATAAAACTCATGTGACTATACCTTCTATCTATATACATAATATACCATAATATTATCTAAATGAATTCTAAATTACCCTAATACATACTATTATCTGTGAAATATCTATAATATCAATTAGATATAATGTACCTACCTATTTAATGCAGAATTTATGGTTTGAATTTTTATATGCAATTATGAAAACCATAATAAATTCCTTATGAAACATTCTAGTAATATTTGACACTGTAGAATTGCTGATCCTCCATGTCACCAACAATAATATTACAGTAGTAATTATTAATATTTTAATTTTGTTTTTATTTATTTTATGCCAGTGCTTTGCACCAGAATAATGTGATTAATAGATTTGGGGTTTATAAGAAGTACCAAAATTTTTTTTGAATTTATAGATAGTACCTATATAATATAAGTATACACTTATTCGAATATTATTCGAACTTTTAAATTTTACTGATAGAAAAATTTATGATAATATAACTGTAGTTATGATTATTATTACAAAATGTTTTGTTATCACAATCATTAAATCAATATTAAATTATGTTTTTTTTTCGAGTTGTAAGGATTTTGAGTGTTACGTTTTTATATAAGTAGTTTGTGTTTCAGTTAATTCAAAAAAGTTGTCTATTTCATATTTTAAATTATTATAAAATAGTAGTAATGATTAATATACTACAATATTGCACCTGTCTGACTGTCTATTAAACTTTCCTTATTTTTTTTGAATCGTCCGTTTTTTGATTATTTATCATTCCCTATTTATTATCTTGCATTGTGTTTAAAATACTGGAGCCAAGTGCCAACAAAATATTTTGCGATCTCTTTACCAAACTGTGTAAGATACTTTTATGAAATACTTATTTTTATATACTGTAATAATTAATAATTATAAGTATAACCACATCCAGAAAAAAAATTAAAATATGCAACAATCTACAATCTAAATATTTATTATATTTCATATTTTTCACTTTTTTTATTTTCAGTTTCCAGTGGATACCGCGAAAAAATTATCCAGGTCAGCTACCGAAATGTTAAACAATTTAGGTGGAAGATTAATAGGACTGCAATGACAACATAAATCTGTTATAAACAGTGCCTATATACAATAAATTTGTAATATTGTACTTGGTATTAACTCTTAAGCCGTGTTATGAATTATGACGTGTTCTAAATCATTTTTAACATGTTTAAAACAAATTATCCACCATATTATATAAGTAGTAGGTAATTAAAATAAATGATTTTTGATGATAGAAATTAATGTTGTTAAGCGATACTTAATATAATTTTTGTACATATTATTTTCGTTTACATATTACATATATTTTGTAATCCACTTCGTTAAAAAAAAATATGTATACTGAATATAGTAGTATATTTTTTCAATACATTTTGTTTTGTTCTTTGTCTTGTAACAATTGTAAATTATTATTGTCTTATCCAACATATCTTTTAATACTAGATGTTTAAGTTAAGACAAATCACAAATGTTATGTTAGAAATAAGTTATCAAATTTGGAGAAACGTTCAATATTATGAGAACCTACGAATACCATTTCTGTAATAAGAATTAAAGTATATTCAGTTTTCAAGAAATGGCTTAAATCGTAAAATCGGGTTTTTTTCCCTATTGATTCAGCTCAGTTTAAAAACGTCAAAACATATTCATGCAGCATCTTGTAGGTATTTAGTTACTTACTTTTTAGTGCTCATTTCGATATTTTTGACAAATCTGGTTTTTAATTTTATAAAAGTTTTGATAACATTTTTGACCATCATTAAATTAAGTACCTTATAGCCTATAGGTACTTAAATTCCTACATGAGACACATGCATACAGCAAGTTAAACAATGTATATGCAACTATTCAAGTTCTTAAATAAGTAACAATAGATACATTATTGATTGGTGCTGTTAGTTCCTACAACTTTAATATTGAAAAAGTTTGTAACTACACAAAATGAGACAAATTTCCTTCCCATTTTATCAAGACTGATATCTGAAAACTTGGTAATTATATTGTATTTGTATGGTTAAAATGTGTTTGCTTATGTGTGCATAAATTGAGCTATAGTTAAAAAATTAAATCTGTATGAATACTAAAAAAAAAATTTTAAAAAGTTAAAGAAAAATATTATATTAAATCAAATAAATAACATTCCAAGTAATAATCCCCATTCGGCAGGTACATAGCGATTTATACCTTATAACTTTTTTTTCATAAAACTGTATCAGGATTAATTTGACGTAATTAGTTGTTTATTTTCTTAATATTTACCAGTAAAAATTAAATTGGTAACAGACATTTTTTTACCTGTCTTATGTAAATTGAAATGACTCATATTTTGATATTTGTTTCAATTTGTACTTGTATATTTTACATGAAGTAACAAGCATAATCAAAACCTTAGTCTTAAAAAAGCGTGAAAGAAATTTGACTAATTTTGTGAAAAAATTTACTTTTTCAAAAATAAATATACTGTAAGGAAATTCAAGTATTGAACATTTTTACAGGTTTTAACTTTTAATCTCTGTGTAAGAATTTACAATGTCATAAAAAAAAATTAATTTTATCTTTACAGTATGAATATTATGATTAAGACAATAAGCAATGGGCAACTTATTTTTATGTTTATTTTAAAACGTGTTATGAGTACTTTTAAATGCATTAATAATATTTACAAGTTTCATTTTAAGTTTTCATTAGTAATCATAGGAAATCCTATCAATGGGTTGATCTTTTCATCAAAAATATTCAAAATAATGTGATCCTATCGTGTTGGTTACTTTTAACAACTATATTCTTATTATATCAAAAGATGCAGATTGTATATTTTGTTTGTAAAAAAAAAGTTTAAATTTAGATTAATTTGAATATTTTATCACAATAAATAACTTTTTTTCCTAAATGGATTTCAGATATTTTGTAGTAATTCATAAGACGTTAATCGTTTAGATATTTTCCATTATGTACATATATTATCATTTTATATACCCGATGATCGGCGAAAGACATAAGCGCCAAAATGAGATAAGAAAAAAAAATCGTATTTTACAAAAGCGCCAAAATCGTATCGTATATAAGCGCCAAAATTCTAGGTACCTGTGTGCTACGCAGTGGCGGCTCGTGCCTAGATGTGCAAGTGTGAGCTCACCACATATATTAATTAGATATAATAGTGAAAATTTATAATAATAATGCATTTATGTATAATAATAAATGCATTTTAACAAATATCTGTTTAACTGTATTTATTATATAAAAAAATTAAATTTTAAAAACAAACAAACGACAATTATTATTATACTCCTAATTAATATTTTTTAAGGTACTTAAAATTATTTTCTAAAACTTTATAATCTCAAAATTAAAAATGCTAATAACTATTTTACTAATTACATTTATACTTAAAACAGACTAATTTTTTTAAAATAAACTTTTGCAATGATTGCACACCACCTACTTTGAACACAACGAGCCGCCACTGGTGCTACGGTTAATAGATATTAAATAACAGATAATATTATAATTAGAACTATATCGATCAAAAACTCCAAACGTTTAATCTTAATCGATAAATGTATTATTTTACAAAAACTCAACCAATTTATTAAATTTATATTTATTGCATGTATACATACCTATACTCATATTATATTTTAACAATTTATTATTGAAAATTTTTTTAATGTAATATATTATATGAAATAAAATATTAATTTTGGCGCAAATGATAGGTCATTATTATACCTTTGGCGCTTATGCCATGTGTAAGGTAAAACAGGTATAAAATATTAGATTGGCGCTTATGTCATACATTTTGGCGCAAATGATAGGTCATTTTTGTACCTTTGGCGCTTATGTCATGTAGCCCCGATGATAATATTTTCAAAATATTAAGATTATATTAATTATGCTATTTTTATCTAAACGATGAATCTAAATAATCTCTATACAGCTCTACATAACATTGTATTATAATATACTTCATTTATAAATGATTTTCTGCTAAAATTACTTAATCTGACCCACGTATAGAAAAATTAAGGCCGTCTCTTTTAAAAATTGTGTCTTCTAAACATTTGTCATTCATTAAATTCAAATTTACCATATACATTTTACAATGACTTTCTATTGATGATGGGGCCAAGCAAAACATTCTAAGTACATTAACAGAACTCTTTGGTCTTTTTTTATATATTGTAAAATATTTTTATATAAAAAATAATTTCTGTATAATTGTTGTACAGTAACAGCAGTAACTATTAAGATTGAAAGTATAAATAAATATGATTAAACATTATTACCTGTTATAACCTATTATACCTTTTCAAATTAATATTATAAACCATAACATTAGAATCGATATAGTTAGTTTAAAAAAATGGTTTCATTAACCACACTTTTTATCCGATAATAAAATTAAATCAGTGTTCAGGAATATAACCATATAAGTTATAATAAAGCACCATTAAAAAATAGTATCCGATGTTTAATTAATTTATATTTCCTTTATATTTTTGTTTACTTGATTTGAGATATGAGAAATGTGAATTTGTGAATTTAATCCTACATAGATTGTAAAGATAACTATACCATATACATAATTATTTTTAAGTCATACATTTAAAAGATACCTATTAATTTTAAAGGTAATTTTATTAAAATACAAATACAATGTTTAATCATTAATAGTCATCCATAAATACAATTTCCTTATCAAATGATTTTAATGGGTACATAATTATATTTATAACATTGAATATAATTGTTTTTTGTGTTTTCATTACGTTTCAACGACTTTTATACAGTATATACCCTTTTATGTGTATTCAAATTTGACGATTGATTAAAATTTTTATCACAGACATCACATGTTTATGGCTTTTCTCCAGTATGTACCCTTTTATAAATTGTTAAAGATGATAATCTGGTGAACGTTTTAGAACAGTCTTCACATTTAAACTCCTTTTGTGCCTTTTGTACAGGGTGCAATCTTTTATGTCTTACCAAATACGAAGATGCAAAAAATGTTTTTTTTCGCAAATATTACATTTAAACAGCTTTTCTCCAGTATGTATCCTGATATATTTTTTTAATTTTGAAAGTATATAAAATGTTTTTTCACAGACATCACATTTAAACGGCTTTTCTTCGGTAGGTTTCTCCGATAAGTACAAACGATGATAGTTGAGGTACAAATGTACAATCGAAGTTACATAAATACTTACCTAGTTAAAATATGGTAATAAGGCAAAAATAGTATAAATAGGCGTTACATTTCATATTAGACTATGATTGGTATTTTACTTATAATAATGCAATTCTCAACTTTTTAAACTATCATTATATCGATTTACTTCTTCAATCAATTCTGGTCTTAATTGCTCAGAAAGTTTAGTTGACTTAAATAGAACAAATCAAAATAACTTAGTTAACTTGCCCCCATATTGTACTCTGTAAATGTTTGTAAACTGATATTCTTACAGGGTTAAAAGTTGTTTATAGAATTCATTAGAAACTTTATTAGAATATTCTTTATGCGATTACACAATCGTGTTTATAGAGTCTAAGATTTTAACAAATATATTAAAATTAGCCTTTGCATTTCATACTACACTATGATTTGTATTACCTATATTTATAACAATAAAATTCTGTTCAGATTGGATGCAAATGTAAAAATTAAATAAAACATCAATGTATTTCGTTATGTTAGATGAATAAATACTTGTTCTCACTCTGAATTCATCCCGGAATCATAGTTGAGGGATCAATACTGAATTATGTCCTGAAAAAAGTGAAAAAATGTAATGACCTTAATTTTATTTTATTAGGGTTAATATAAATTATAAACCGCAGACGAGATCACAGATGAATAAATTTTATATCCATAGTTGTTCGTTTATTGAATTTTTAGTAAGGAGGCTGTGTATATTCAGTGGTCTACAAATGTGTGTGTGGGGGGGGGGGTCGAGAAAAATCCTCATCCCCTCCTACAAAGGGGTAGTAAAGATACAAATACGTGGTTACTATTAACAAGCAAACTATTTTTGTCTAGATATTAAATATTGTTTATCATTATAAGTAAATTGTGGCTGTGCCCGTTTATGTGTGTCTGTTTTTGTAATGGCATACCCGCATTAGGATATTTACTGATCACTCCCATAACGTTCAACCTAAGGAAACAAAATTGATAATTGTTGTATACTTGGCACCTAACTAATTGACGTACCTATTACCATAATTAGCAAAATGCTTATTTCAAAATACCGTTTTCCTATTGGTCTATAATATATTTTACTAAAGAATCTAACCTAGTTTTTTAAAAACAATATATTTTTCAAATTAGAAACTAAGTAGATATATTTAAATGTTGGGTTACTTCACTGGTAGCATAATCTCCAATTAGTTTTTTTATCATTATTACAACACTCATTTTATCAATCTACATTCTACATAGGTCACTATTAAACATTACAAAATACAAATATAACTACACTATATCTTATATTTAATAATTATATTATAATTTATAATCAATCAATTAATCATTAATATATAAACAAAACATATTTGATCAATATTAGGTAATATTTAATTTTTAATAGGTGCATTTATCATGCAATTATTCAACATGACTCATGTTACCATAGAACACCATAGAAGGGACACTCTCGGGCGGCCAATGTTAATGTGTTTAGAATTCTTAATGGCCTTGAAATGGTTAGTAACTTCTTGTCTTACCGCCAACTGCCAAGCTTACAACATCATTCTTGTTATTACGACTAATCATACAAATAAATATGTGATAAGATTTTTTTGATATATAACATCAATTTTTTCGATTTTTTATGTTATATGTTACGAATATTGAATTTATGATGGCTTATATATTTTTAAGATATTTATTCAATAAATTTGTATGTAGTTTGTTTTTCAGATATGATTTTATTAAAATGTATAGGTAATTATTTAATATCATTGATAATGAATATGAATAATCTACCTTCTATAAGACGATTTAACAAAATATATACATAACAATATTTATAAATGACATAAAATTAGCAATTTTCTATTTTTCATGCGAAGTATTCGCAAATTACGGTTAGTTCTGGTTAAAATAGTATAAATTCTAAATCTTGTATATAAGTTTAACAAATAGTCATGGGGGAATATTGTTCACAGGGATTTTCAAAGTATACATTTAACATTTAAGTTTTAAGTTTTTTCCCAACTTTTGATGATGGTGCCAAAGTTGGAAATCGATTTGTAAATATATTGTCTAATTCAAAAATATATTGGTAAAAATTACAATCTGGAGCCTTTAACGATGAAAACATAGATATAGAGCTTTGTTGATGTGATTTGTAGTGTGTGAAAAAAAGTTCATCAGATAACTTTGTGGTAGATCTGCCATATCTTATGCACGTTTCACAAGAATGCATGATATAATACTTCATTATTAAATAACCACATATATATGTAAAAGCATTTCCTTCAGGCAATTCGTATGATCTGTAATTGGTAGCATCAATGGGTAACGGATTAATTTGAATTACCTTTTGGTTTTCAGGGAATATTGTTTTTAAATCTTCAGCTGGTATTTTATTGAAAGTAGGTACTCAGTACTTGGTCTGTGTCTTCCAAACAATTTGCACCTCCATTATATTCAAAATAGCTTAGTGAAAATAATTTTTTGAAGGTGCGCTGTAACTGAATAGTTGTGGGGTTTAGACAGTTACTATTGTGAATTCGCATAGTACCAAACAAATTTTCCAAACAATCTTGGTTCAATCTCCTTGTCATTAGTTCAATCACTTCATCATATTCTTTTGATAATATATTATGTAATTTAATTAATCCTGCTATTGAAATCATCCAACCTGTCAGAGATTTAATGTTGTAGCTTTTCTTATTGTGCCATTGCTTTGTTGATGTATTAAATTTTGGTACATTTATATTTTTAAAAAAATTAAACATTTTTAATAAGAAATTAATTTGATATTCAGCATTTTTAAAAGGTAAGCAAAATCGATTTGCCCTCTTAGGTTCTGATTCATCGTCGTCTTCTTGTGGCTTTATTTTCATTCGAGAATTAAATATATCAAATAAATTATCAACTTCATATATTTCTTGGAAGGGGGGTTATACGAATCTTAGTGAGTGAAAATATGATGCAGGGACCTTTTTTTTAAAAAAAATTGGTGGGCTGATCTCGAGCAATGCATTTCGATGATAAAAGTGTTCATAACATCATGCCTTACCGCCAAGCTTTCAACATCATTCTTGTCGCTCCGAAATGAAGAAAATAAAAGTGGAGGGGTGAGTGTCGCTTCTATAGTGTTCTATGATGTTAAATACTAGGCGTAACAGAAATAACTGATAAATTAAATATCTTTTGTTCAAATCAATATTTAAACATTTTTTTATGTATAATTTATAGGTGGTTGAGGTAATATTATCGTATATTATCATAAGTAGTTTATCCTGTAAGAAATTTTAAACTAAAAAATATAAAAACACAATTTGTTTTTATGTTAGTTCCCACAAATTACACATTAAAATGAAGAATACAGTTTTAGTTATTTCGTTGTTATAAATTCAAATATATTATAGTTTTTAGGTAGAAATAAGAACTTATCATAATGAAATTTCAAGGATAATTATTTTGATAATTTTACATCACACAGAACTAAACAATTGCTTATAATGAAATAGACAAAAAAACTTGACTCTAAAAATAACTCAATTATTTATACAAAAAAATCATTAAAGCATACATTTATATGCCCTAACCCATAAAATATGCAAAATAAGATTTGGTGCCATGGTTATTACTTATAAATTGCAATTTTTATTTTATAAAAACCTAAAATATCAATATTAATATGAAGTTATTTTTTTCAGAACTTGTGTTTCAATGTTGGTTACATTGAATTTATAATTAAGTTTTTATAAGTATATAGTCTTAATTTAGACTATTAATTCATCTTTGTATCTATTATATTATCTTTATTTCACTGTTTCTTACATTCAATTTATATTTTTAGTTATTCCATATAGGTAAGAATTTCTTACTAAAAAATAGCAATACCTTTTTTTTCTATATATAATTTTTATTTCAATATTGGTTAGGTACATTTATATTATTAAAGTTAATAAATGAATTTCAAGTTTGAAAGAGTAATTAATTTTAATATATTATATACATATTAAGACCATAAGGAAAATTCAAAACTTAATATGCTATACATGGGCAATTTTTTTTTTGTGCCTATCTACTATTAATTAAAATTAATCACAAAACGAAATTCAAAAGACATGATATTGTATGTTTTTTGTTTTTTGAATTTTCAGACGTATCATTCTCAGAGTTAGTATGGAAAATTCTGAATCATACATGTTTACTAATAATTATATGTGTACTGTGTAGTGTGTAAATGTTATAGTAAAATACATTACATTTTTATTAACATTATTAACTAGCAATTAATGTTAATAGATAGTTATGAATATTTTACAGGGGCTTATAATGTTAATTACTCCGGATTTACATTAAATTAAATGTAATGTTTGGTTTTAGTTTGTTTCTCAACAATTTGAGGGAACAAATGTTTTGGACCAAATCTAGGACAAAATAATATGGATAATATTTGTGATTATTTTATATGAAATATTATTAAAATGCATCTTTTAATTAATTCTGACGATCTCCCATCTTTGTTGTACATCATATTCTTACCTCCTATTATACAATTTTAATTTTTAGACTGTATATTTTAATTTACTTTTAGAATATATTTTTTTAAGCTTACAATATACATACATGTACATACCAAAAAATATAATAGGTATAATAAACACCGGTATCTTATAAAATTATTGCTATATTGTCCATAACACAATATTAATAACAAAATGTTTAAATTTATCTTGTGCTTCAAACTATACATAAATATGTATAAATAAACTTAATAGTGACAAGAAAAAGAAAGAGACTAACAAAAAATTATACAACAAAAGTAGGCTCATTACATATTTAGTTAGTTGTTCCCTATTCCTAGCTTCTATAAAAATGTTGAAAAAATTTAAATTATGATAACGTCACCGATGATACTTAAAAGTATATAAAAAATATCTAAGTCAGGCTCCATTTGATAACTATATTTTGATATTTGTTCTCTTAACATGATATTAATGAACATTTACAATATAATATAATTCTACACTTAGTCCAACTACTAGAACACAAACAGAGAACGATAAAAATATTTTGGTAGTCAGCCCACTACTAAAAACTAAAAATTCACTGAAACCCTACACTATCTTTGTCTTGAGTCTTTTTCCTTGGAGTTCAGTGTCACCACCCTTAGGCCGTTGCATAGCTATTTGATACATTACACAAAAAATAAAGATAACACATTCAATATTTAAAAAAAAAAAATATATTAGATACAAATGAAACTAATGATACATTTAATTAGGTATTTTAAATGCTTAAAAAAGTTTTTAAATTTTAAATCATATATTTCTTAAACAGTTTAAAATAAATAATAAGCATAATATGTTGATGTTAGGTATACATATCAACCATAGGTATATTATATTAAAGATATAAAAGTTATCAATGAGTTTATTTATTTAATATATAGGACATAGGTAATATATCTGTTTTAAAATATAATTAGGGTTTGTTAGTATTTGTTTTTAAAAATAATTTTGCTGAATACGCTTGATCAGAGATGCTACACTTATATTATAGATACCTAACATTTCTTTGATGTGTACAATTTTATGAACTTTTAAATTTGTTGATAACCAAACTGCTTACCACACACTGTACGATGTGTATCCTCTTATGTAGTGTTAAAGATGATGGTTTAGTGAACGTTTTGGAACAGACATCACATTTAAGCGGCTTGTCTTCAGTATGTATTTTGATATGTTTTATTAAATGTGGACGCGAATAAAATATTTTTTCACAGATATCACATTTAAGCGGCTCTTCTCCAGTATGCATTCTGTAATGTGCATTTAAATTTGTACGTCTAGTATATGTGCGTGCACAGATATCACATTTATATGGCTTTTCTCCGGTGTGTGCTCTTGTATGTCGTATTAAACATGAATTTTCAGAAAACGCTTTTTCACAGATATCACATTTAAACGGCTTTTCTCCAGTATGTATTCTGTTATGTATATTGAAAATTGAAAGTGCAGAAAACGTACGTTCACAGATACCACATTTATACGGGGTTTCTCCAGTATGTAGTCTGTTATGTTTCTTTAAACTTGAAAGTGCAGAAAACGTAAGTTCACAGATACCGCATTTATATGGATTTTCTTCGGTNCATTTAAATTTGTACGTCTAGTATATGTGCGTGCACAGATATCACATTTATATGGCTTTTCTCCGGTGTGTGCTCTTGTATGTCGTATTAAACATGAATTTTCAGAAAACGCTTTTTCACAGATATCACATTTAAACGGCTTTTCTCCAGTATGTATTCTGTTATGTATATTGAAAATTGAAAGTGCAGAAAACGTACGTTCACAGATACCACATTTATACGGGGTTTCTCCAGTATGTAGTCTGTTATGTTTCTTTAAACTTGAAAGTGCAGAAAACGTAAGTTCACAGATACCGCATTTATATGGATTTTCTTCGGTGTGTAATCTTAAATGTTGTATTAAATATGAACGCGAACAATATATTTTTTCACAGATATCACATTTAAACGGTTTGGGTCCGATATGTATCCTGATATTATGCCTTTGTAATTTTCCAAGTGTAGAAAACGTACCTTCACATAAACCACATTTATGACATTTATTTTGTGTGACGATTTTTTCTAGTTCACATACGGTTCTAGAAAAAAAAATACAAATTTATTCTTCAAATAAATAACAATAAAAACTATTTAGAATTATTTAACTGAATACGCAAAACACACACGGGATCTAAACATTTTGTAAACTAATTATAAAATAGGTACCTATTACATTAATTTAAATAAAATATTTATTATCATTATAGGTTAATATAAACAAGGAGAAAGTTGAATGATTGAAAAATATACCTATCTTTAACATTGTATTTAAACACATTTTTATTTATTTATATTTTGATGTCTCCCACACTTTCCACGACTTAGATCAGAGGGTTTAATAGTAATGGTTTAGACTCAAAATTTTAATATTAAGACGACACATCCAAAAATAGGATAATTTTAAACAGGTAAAGTATAAACGATGATAGTTGAGATACAAATGTACAATCGAAGTTACATAAATACTTAGTTAAAGTATGGTATAAACTATAAAGTAAAAATAGTATAAATAGCCGTTACATTTCATATTACACTATGATTGGTATTTTACTTATAATAATGAAATGCTCAACTTTCTAAACTATCATTTGATCGATTTACTTCTTCAATCAATTCTGGTCTTAATTGCTCAGAAAGTTTAGTTGACTTAAATAG